TTAATAGTTTATTTTCCATTCACTGTCTGATCCTGTGTATTGTGTGAAGTTGCAGATCGAACATATGTGTTGCAAATATTGATTTGATTTTAAACTTGAATTTCTTTTTTTATAGCTTAATGTTAAAATGTTAATCTTTCAGAGATAATATTCTATATATAGATACCTTTACTTCATCAAAATTCACCATCTTCAAATTTGTATTGCACATTTTTAAATGTAGAAATACAACAAAAAGGCTTTTTCGTTTGTTGATTCCCATGATGCAATGTTTCATTGCCGCTACAGCACAATGACCTTTGTTTGTACTTTCTTTATGTTTGATTTCATGCATAACACAGGATCTGGCAGTGAAAAAAAAAATGTTTAAAAATTGCAAATAATAATCACCATACAACTCAAATGTAATCCAGTATAACAGGTTGAGTGAGATGTGCCAACTTTATTCCCATACTTATTTTTACAACAAGCAGCATTATTTATATGCTATTTTACTTTGATAACGAGTGTGAAGACAAACTTTATCTTGGTTTTATTTTCTGCCATTTATTTTATCAAAATCTACAAAAATATTAATATATCTATACTTTGTTGTTGTTTTCTATTGTAAATAAAATATTGTATCTATTGGTCTCTTTTGTACTGTTTGTATGATAAAAAAATGGATTAATAATTTAATAAGTATAAAAGTATTTGAATGTACCCACCATTGATAACTGTAAAGGGGTTGATTATTCACTGGGTTTTAATTTTGCTTATTTCACTGACTGGAAAATGTGCTATTAAAACCCAGTGAATATGTAAAATTTAGCATTAGAACACATTATCTAAATGATAAAACCGTGAATATGCCTGAAATGGTAAATGAGCGAAATTTAGACCCAGTGAAAATTAGTAATTTCACAGTATATATCCTAACATGGAGCTATGATTCTATTAACTTATAATTCCGTGTCCGTGCGTCTGTCCGGAGTCATATCTCAGAATCCCTTGGACCGATTCCGTTCATTCTTTGCATGTGCCTAGTACCTTATGTGGGACATATGCACATGCAGTGGTTTAGCAATTCGATTCAAAATGGCCGACTGGTAGCCATCTTGTTTTTTGAAAATGTTGACTTGTATTTTGAACATGCTTTGTCAGTTGTCATTCAAACTTGGTACATAGATTATACATGTTAGGATACATGTCCATGACGATTTATTTCGCTATTGGATCAAAGATGGTCGACTGGCAGGCATTTTGTTTTTGGGTTTTTTATGCGGTATCTTGGACGTGCTCTGTCAGTTTTCATTCAAATTTGGCACATACATGTACTTTATACATGTTAGGATGCATGTCCATGACAATTTGTTTCAAAATCTTGTCAAGGATGGCCGATTGACAGCCATCTGACTTTTTGGCCTTACTACTACTGTAAAATCTGTATTAGAAGCCGCGGCTTCTATTAAAATGGTACAATGCAACAGAGGAGATGCGGCTTCTATTAGAGCATCTACACATATGAGAAATGGTGAATTTTTGGTTCTCAATTATTCAAATAGAATGGATGCGACTTCTATTAGGGATGCGGCTTCTAATACAGATTTTACGGTATATTTCCACAATTTATGTACCATTTTCATTTGTATTTGGCACATACATCATACATATCAGTGTGTTTCATAATCAGATCAAAGATGGCCGAATAACGGCTGTTTTTATTTTTGCCCGTATTACTACTACACAGAACACGCGTTTTGATGTAAATAAACAATCTGCTGTATACGCCACTTGGAATTCAAGGACACGTTCGCAACAACCCCTCCGCTTTAATATGACGAGCACAAAGAGAACTTAATTTAACGGGGACTGTGTCATTTTCAATGAATTGTTATCTGTGTTCTGCCAACCGTGTTAAATATGGGATTGATTACTTGTGAGAAAATACCTTGTCACTGTATGTACTACAAGTCTTACTGATTCGGGCAAATTGGTAAAAATACATGTGTAGCCTGGCTACATTTTTACTGGTAACCCATGTTGCATGGAAATTTGGTCTTGCTGCTAAGATTTAGCTCATTAAACCTGTAAATGTACTGCTACATCATGCAGATTAGCGGGAGGGGTTGCGGTGGAAATTAACTCAATGAGTGGAGATAATGTATATCTGGCTATTAGTATACTGTAAAATACTATATTTTAGCTGGAAATAATTTTTGGGTCTTTTGTATGGAATTTATTTTCACTGCTTTTTGAGGAGTTAAATGTAAAAATATAGGAAAAAAGGTATATTCGCTGGATTTTATTTTCTCTGAATCATTCCTTAAGCAAAAATAACAAAAATTAATTCCAAGCAAAAATAAAGTATTTTACAGTATTCAGATTAGCAGTGTGGTATATTTATTTATGTCTCAGTCACACATTGAGTATGGAGGTGAAATCTTAGCATGTTCAGATGACACTGGAAAGTGGACAATGTATTAAGAGGTATGCGTAGCAATTACTTTTTTTGGATCCAAGAATATTTGACCAATTGGCAGCCATTTTGCTCCTCAGAAAAACTGAAAAACACAATATGCCTGAGCAAATTTCATAAATACACATGTATGTTACTTAGTTTCACAATTTGTTCAACAATGGCCGACTGGTTGCCATTTTGAATTATACTCATGACTATCAGATCTATAGAATATACCGGAATGCTCAATTCAGTACCAAAGACATGCTCATCAATTTGTTTTG